ATATGAGAGGAAAGTCCCAGATCAAAGGTAAGAAAGCAGTACCGGCATTCTCAAAAATTCATGAAAGAAAAGAAAGCAAAGAAAGGCATCTTGTAATATCAGTAAGGCTATCAAAGGCATTCATCCACCTTCCTTTATTCCTTTCTTCTGGTTTCCCTTCTCACTGGTTCCCTTCCTCAAAAATCATCATTATCAATATCAAGGATGCATTACCACGCCAGTGAATGAGACCTGCTCAAAACCTAGTAAATTTTCATGGAGTCTTTATTAAAGTATCCTATAGTTCAACCATCCCGTTATTTTACCTGCTTAGATTTCCTTTTTGTGTTTTAGACTTCTCATCACCTATTTCAGTCAATGGAGACATACATAGTCTGTGAGAAATTGTAGGGTGATCAGGGGAGTAGAGCCTGCGGCTTCAGTTAACTTTATAATTTATATTCTCAGGAAATCATTTGCTACTGCATGAATTTCATTGCTCCTGTCCAGGTGTCAGTTGGATAGATGAAACAAGGAAGAAGAGTTTGCCCTCATTCTGTAGGTGGAAGAGCCAGAGACACGGAGGGGTTGGGCAGCTTGCAGAATGTTGTGCAGGTAAATTTTTCCAAGGCAAGATTTGAACCTGCTCCCTCTTTCTCAGCTCTAGTGTTTCCTTCACTGGGTAGTGATGGTGGTTATCATGGTGGCTTCTCAGTCAGGACCCAGGGAGTTGAGCTGTCTTGGGACAGGAGGTCACTCATTCCTTTTGCCCCACATCCTTCCCTAAAGCCAGACATCTGAGGCACATTTCTTGTTAAGTTGATTCTTACATGTGATGAAACAGAAGAATAACCTAATTTGGTATTCGTTCTGATACAAGTAGGGCAGGCTTTGAGAACCTACACCTGGGCATAGATCCGGGGTGCATCCTCTGAGTAGTAGCTTGTACCCGGTGTAATGTCACATTTTTTTCATTACTAGAATGTATACCTAGGGTCCCATTCATGTTAATCAAGCCTTCTGCCATTAAGCTATATTCCTATTCTTTTATTTCTTTCTGAGACACAATCTCAGTATGTTGTACAGGCTGAACAGAGCTAGTTAGTTCATTTATAACCTAGTTATGCCTCAAACTTGCAGTCTTCTTCCTCAGTCTCTTGAGTAAATAGGATCACAGGTATGAGCCACCATCTTGGTGTGGAATTCTTTACAATGTGTGGAAGAAGAGTCCGTGTTTGCAAGCTTATGATTTTGGAGGCTTCAATGTCTTCAAATATTAATTTTCCCATCTGGAAATTAGAAACAATAAAGTTGTGTATACTTCAGAGTGTTCTGGTGCAGAATACACAATACAACATTGGCAGAGTCTCCAGGGATCTTTTGTATAAATATAGTCCTTAAGACATCCTAACTTCCTTCCATCTGCAACAGGAGATAGACCTCTTCATTAGTGTATTAAGTGAACATTAGGAGGTGGGTCATATGTACACAGAGTTTGGCTTTAGGCTGGGGAAGATGATTATTTGGGTTTTGTTGCTGTGAGAATAAATTGAGCAACATGAAAAAATAACCCCCATGTTCATATAACAGTTACTGTTGACAAATGTGCAGCCTGACAAGGGAAATACCACAAGAGTTCAGGCTAAGAAATGAGATCCCCCAGATAATATCAGGGGCACTGGCATCACTGGAGAGCATCACTGAGTAGGTTCAGCTATACTTCCTGATCAAGGATAACATGAGTGATAAGAATAATAGACGCACACAGATGAAAAGAATGTAAAAACTAAGACTTACTGACATTTAAAAAAACACACCTACTTACCTTGATCTAGCTGATAAACTATGCTAACTTTAGTGTCACAAGCAGTCCATGAAGGAGGCAACATCAGTAACATTTTGTGGATGAGAAAACTAAGCTCATTGGATACTTAGTAACACTGAAGAATCCTACAGATTGGTAGTGTTTATAATCCAGTGTTTGAGAGGGATAGAGACAGAGGATAATGTACTGTTTGGAAAAACCATGGCAAATGGGTTTAGAATAATGGTCAAATTTTAAGTTTCTGGTAAGGCTGTGTGCAGAAATATTTAGGAGCCATCCAGATTAGACTGTTCAACTTGTCTTGGTACTGAACATCACCTTGGGCTCTGGAGAAGTGGTGGTGGTCACTAAGGCAGATATTTGCTGTCTTGATCCTTATATCTCATTTTATAGAAAACCAATATTAAGAGTTATGACTTCTAGGGTCAACCATTACCCAAACCTGTTCTTAATCTTCAATTTACTGATTCTTAGAACAAGAAAACTTTCACAGTGGAAAACACCAACCAACCAACCAACAAACCACTGAACTAATAATAATAATAATAATAATAAAGCAAGGAAAAGCAAGAAGAAACATATTTGTTGTCATCTGGGTCTGATGAGAATGTAGCACAGAAGTATGAGTGTTGGAAACTTTGAAATATTTTTATTTTTAAAACAATCTTACGTTATATACCAATCCCAGTTCCCTCTCCCTCTAGTCCTCCTGCTCCCCCCAGCTTCTCCCCCCACCTACTCCTCAGAGAGAATGAGGTTTCCCATGGGTAATCAAAAAAGTCTGTCACATCACTTGAGGCAGGAACAAGGTCCTCCCTACTATATCTAGGTTGAGCAAGGTATCCCTCCATAAGGAACGGGCTCCAAAATGTCAGTTCATGCACTAGGGATAAATACTGATTCCCCTGCCAGTGCCCCCACAAACTGACCAAGCCATCTAATTGTCACCCACATTCAGAGGACCCAGTTTGGTCTTATGCAGGTTCCCCAGCTCTCAGTATGGAGTCAGTGAGCTCCCACCTGCTCATATCAGCTGCTTTGTGGGTTTCCCCATCATGGTTTTGACCCTTTTGCTCATATTATCGCTCCCCCTACCCTAGGACTGGACTTCAGGAGTTTGGCCCAGTGATTAGCCATGGATCTCTGCATCTGCTTCCATCAGTTACTGGATGAAGGTTCTCTGATGACAATTAAGGTAGCCATTAATCTGATTACAGTGGAAGGGCAGTTAAGGTACCTTCTCCGCTATTGCGTAGATTCTTAGCAGGGGTCATCCTTCTGGATTCCTGGAGAATTTCCCTAGTGCCAGGTTTCTCAATAACCCTTTAATGGCTCCCTCTATCAAGGTATGTCTTTCCTTGCTCTCCCTCTCTGTTCTTCACCCAACTCAGTAGAAACTTCTTAAGACTTGTCAGCTCATAGCACAGAAAAGGTTTCAAACTTGGGCATGTGTCAGTAACCCCGAAAGGCATTCTCAACAGTTCCTGAGCCCCATGCACAGGCTTAGGAAACAGTGGGTCTGTGATGGAATTGGAGACGCTTCATGTTCATGGATGAACGCTGGTACTTTTGTAGAGCCTGCTAGTCACTTTCCCTTGGCCACCAATCGGACTCCCTTTCAAATAAAATGAATTATTCAAACACGCATATTTTAAAGGTCTGGGAGACTCTGTCTGCCACCCTCATGGGATTTGTTAGTAAGACTTTCTGAAAATTGCATCACCATTTATTTAATTAGTACTTGTTTTGGCAGCACGTTTACTAAAATTGGAAATACACAGAGAAGATTAGCATGGCCCCTGTGGAAGGATGACACAGAAATACTGCAAGCAATGCATAATTTTAGAAACGCTTTACACCATTAGTTGAAATGTAAAATGGCGTAATGCTATGGAAACTGGTATGAAGGTTCCTCAGAAAAACAAACAAACAAACAAAAAAAACCAGTTGCCAATTTATATGGCAATTATACCTTGGGTATACGTAATAAATTCAAAGTAGAGTCTAGAAAGAGCATATGCACCCTCATGTTTATTGTACCATTATTTACAATAGTTGGAAGGTTAAGTAACAGATGCTCATTGATGGATAAAGAAATGTCTTATACATACATTGGACTGTTACTCACACTTTTAATAATTACTTGGTGTGTGTGTGTGTGTGTGTGTGTACCCAGGGAAGTCAGAGGAGGTCTCAGATTCCATGAAGCTGCCATTACAGATGGTATGAGCCACCTGATGTGCGTACTAGGAACTACTTTTGTGAGGGAAGGGCAAACACTCTTGACCACTGAGACACCCAGCACCAAGTACTTTCATAACATTTTGGTGATGAGTTCAATCTGAGACTCAGATCTTGTCTGAGATGTGACCTGTGAGTAAGGATTTTTGAAAGTTCCTCAGATGGTAGCCATGCATGTCAGGCATTGCAGGATCAGTGGCATGAAACTCGTGGGAAGTTATAAAAACATCTTTGAGCATCTTGTCAAATTCTATACACTCAGGAAGCTTTTTGCACTTTCTTCTAATTTCCCTGGGTAAGTCTGATTACTGCTATCTCCCTGCCTCTTGCTAATTTGAGAATTATAGAACGCATGATTCTTCATGCTTTTTAGATGAAATGCATAAGTCTCTCAATTTTGGAAAGTTACATTCATCACCTGCTGAATGCATGTGATCAAAGTCAGTGAGACATTCCTAACTTTGGTCACCCATGTATACAGTGCCCTCCTATATTTTTAAGTCTTCAGATAAAACATGATATGGAGTTTTATATTAAACTATAAAAGTCTAGCAGTTTGTTTGGACATTAAGCTCCACAGTGCATGGATCATTTAGAGGACAAGTTGAAGGACAAAGGGATATAGTTTCATTATAAATGAATATTTGTGTGTAGGGATTAGCTCCTGTCAAGGGTGGTTTGTCCCAAGTCTCTAAAACTCATTGTTGTTGAAGGGCAGATGGGCAATCCTGAGGAATTAGCTGCAATGTCAGGGAGTAGAAAGGAGCTCCCCCAGAGTCACCCATTGAGAGCCAATTTAGATTTTCATGAGATCAGAGATTTGGCAACAGAGAAGACAAGGACTTGCCAACCCAATGCTGTTTAATATTAATTAGACCTAATATAACTCAGTATCCGTTTCTCAGATATTCCCTGGCAGAATACCAGAGAAAAAAATCTGAGTTCACATCATATGTAAGTTGTATAATCATAAATTTATTCATAATTACATATTCATATGATATAATATGTTACTATATATTCTACATTTCTGAGTATTTTTGAGTAACTGGAGAAGATGAATGGGTACACCAAGTCACTAATTCCTGTGAAGTGAGCTGCCTGGGAATATCCACATGAAAACTTCTGATGCAGGTGTTATGCATACAAATTCAAATTCCAAGGACCCCAAGAAAGTTAAACCTTGCTGTGTGGTATGCACCATATGCATTAGGGAGAGGGAGTATTTAAAATTGGGACAGGGTTTGCATGGGGACATCATGGAGGAGATGAGTATCCAGTTGAGACACGTTTCCTGGGATTGGGAGATGTGAAGGTACCCAGTAGCACTCAAAGGACAAGCAATATCAGGACCTGGGCATCTTCATACCCGACACCTGAAATGGGACCCTCATTGTCCCTCCTTATCTGAACAAGCATGCAATATTACAATGGGGCTGAAACATCCAGTTTCTATTGAGCACACTCCTATTTCTTTTAAACTCCGTATTTTCAATATCGAGACAATGAAGCATCATTAAAACTGTATATGGAATGAATTAGGCTTCCCCAAACAGATTATAGTAGACACTGACACTGTTATTCACGTGGAAGATAAGACAGCGGAAGCCAGAGGTAGCACATTAGGGAACCTGAGTGCTTGTTATACACTGAAATAGTCCATAGATTTCAGGCTTCATTTGATATAAAACAAGGTGAAATATATATTTCAAAAATCTGAATTACTGATGATTGTAGTGGAGACTTCTGAAAGTATGTGGTCTTCAGGGTAGACCATAATTTATATGTACAGTTGACCCTAAGACTGTGGCTGTGTAAGAACTGTGTAGGAGAAGAGCTGGGGAGATGGTTCTGTGAGTAAGATGGCTTGCTCTGCAAGCATGAGGACTTCAGTTGGAATCCCAGGAACACACATAAAAAGCTGTGCGTGCCTATAACACCAGCATTCAGAGTCTGGGACAGGAGGATCTTGTGAGGTGGTCGGCCAGCCAGCATGGGTGGAATGTAGAACTTCCGGTTTAGTGAGCAACTGTTTCAAGGTAAACAACAGAGAATCATTGAAAAAGATACCTGATATTCCATGCACAGATCTACATACTCATGTGTAACACACACACTCATGTATAACACACACACACACCAAGAATAAAAACCCAAACCCAAATAAAATTAGGTAGGACAGACTGCTACTTCCAAACCATACAGAATAACCAAGGTCATAGTAAGTATCCCCACAAAAACAACCAAAACATGCAATGTACTGACTGAAAAATGGTTGGCATTGGGTAAGAAAAGACAGCAATCTCTGCGTGATAAGAATCAGATGAGATGAACCCTGCAATTTAGCCAGCATAGTGTGTAGACTGTGTTATTGGCTACCACCAATATGTTGAGTTTGGTGTTCTTCTTACATGGGGAGATGACCTTGAGAATCTAAGGGAGCCAAACAATGAGTATTTATAGGAGTAAGTACTGGATTAGAGAGAGAAGTACCAAGAAAGAATCCTCAGAACTTCATAGGATTCCATCTCTGGTCATGAGTTAAGTTCTACTCAGTGCATACATGTGAGAAAAATGCAGAGACTAAAATGCAGCCTCTAATAGAAAAAAAAACTAGAAAACTAGAATAAAGGGGGAACTTTCAATGTGATGCAAGATATCTATGAAAAAATTGTGTCTAAGTACAGAGACAGGATTATTTGCTATTAAGATCAGACTGGCAAGCTCCCAAGGCCATCTGGGTCCACTCCCCAGTCCTGAACTCATAAGCCAATGCAGCCATGGCTGATACCTTACATGCATGCTCAAGATTTGAACTCAAGCCTCCCATCCTTGTCCAGTAAGTGCCTTTACATCTCCTCAGCCCAAGAACTCCAGTTTATTAATGCTTACAAATGGATAAGTAGTGTTTACCATCATACCTTTATTCATTTTAACGACTAATGTAAGCATGCTGTATAAGGGCAAAGGCTGCCCAATTCTAAAATGGTTAGCATGGAAATACAGACACATATCTATCATCTATCTATCTATCTATCTATCTATCTATCTATCTATCTATCTATCTATCTCCCTATATATGTATGTATGATTGTCTCTCTCTCTCTATATATATATTTATATATATATAAAATAAATCATAGTGTAGTTTACAAACTCTTCAAAAATGGTGAAATTACTGAAATGTTACCAGTTCTCAAAGGAAGGTCACTTTTAGAGTGAACCTTGCAATCCTGAGTTTGGGGTGGAGTATTACTACAGTAGAGCAACATGCATGGAAGAAGGAGACATAATAGAATGAACTCGCCGTTAACACTCTTTTGTTTTGTTCTTTAATTACTTGGCTATTATCAGTGTGTGCACACGTGTGTACGTGTGTGCCTTAGTGTGCATGTGAAGGCTAGAGAATACTTCTGTGGAATGACGTCTGCCTTTCCACATTTGCATGGGTCCAGAGGTTGAACTCAGATTGCAGGTTTGTCTGCCAAGCACGTTTACTCACTGAGCCATCCTGCTGGCTCTGTGATTAACACTCTTAACCAAGATTCCTACTGTAATTTCCTTCAGCTTGGTAGGTGTTTGGGAGAAGAACAAAAGTATGTGAAGACTGTGCAGTTTGAAGTATGACACTTATATCAAGCATTTTGTAATGCTAGTGAAAACTATACGTGGGTTTCAGGCCCTCCCTAAACGAAAACCAACACTATTTACAACAATGCGCTCCTTCACAATATAGAAGAGAAAACGTATTTCCTTCTGTTGGGAATAATTTAAGCTGCGCGATTTGTGTCATTTCCAATATTGCCATGGTTACCTGGAGGCTCAGAATCAATTGTGAGGCATAGTCCTAACAACTCTAAAATCTCTCTCAGTTTTACATCTGTGTTATCTTTCCTCCGATGCTCTTTGTTGCTGTTGTTTTATAATTAACTTTCTAGCAAACTGCCCATTTACTTTTAAGGCGAGGGAAGAAGGCAAACAATTGCATTCCCACAGCATCCAACTGGGTGTACATGTGTCAACACGTTACTTATTTAGTCATATGACGTTTATCTGCCAAATCCTGGCTCCATCCTCACATTCATGAATAACCGAGGCAGAGGTTACGCAAGCCACACCTCAGGCTGTAATTACCCAGCTCCCAGGGTGCATGTGAGTCCATCTCGGTGTGTGTCTACCCTGATTCCATTGACTCTTATTCCGCAAAAACTTTAACTTGAAAGAAAATCCATCCTCTTTTGGCTAAGGAGAATGAAGCGTTAGCTAATTAAATTCCTCATAGGCCTCACTCTTGAAGCAGTAATACTAAATCCAGAGATAAGTTGTCTTGGCAACCACTTTGGCGACTGTTACCAGCTTGCTTTTACAGCTTGTGAATAAAGATGTTTGAGAATGTAAATTGCCAGCTGAGGTCCAACTGTCCCCCACCCCCTTCCAAAGAAGCTGGACACTAATTGATAACACAGTACACTGCACTTTTGTTTATGTGTGAATAATAAAGCCACTTGCACAGCTCAGCCTTTGGGCGATTACATGTATTATTCATGCCTTCAAAATGTAATAAAGATACATACTTAATATCAGTTTTCCAATTAAAGTTTATGACCAAGCTCAGTGATGGTTATAGTTTTTGGCAGGCACTTTTAATTTTCTTCCAATGTATTCTTGAGGTTTACAAAGCAGCTTCAGACGTAAGAGAGCAGAGGGAAAGGAGGAACAGAAGCAGCGCATGCGCACAGGAAGATGTCATAGCCACGCCTGCTCCATCTACTGATGATGGGTCTGGCAAGAGTTGTGCTAGTGGTTCCTCTAAAAAGTAATTTCTTTTTAATAAAAGAAAAATTCTGCTTAAGGTCCAGTGCCCTGGAAAAATTGGCAAGTGAGTGAATTAGTCATCATTTACTTCAGAGTTCTCTAACGTGCTCTGACTGCCTTCCGCTAGCATTAAAACAATCCAGAAAAGCCATTTTTACTAGGTAGCAAGTCACTTCTCACTTAGGCTTCTCACTGGGTTCCTTCTAGAAACCCAGGCTATGAAACGATTATGTAGGGGCCTGAAATCCTTTGATTCAAACCTTCACTTTACAGAAACAGTGAGATTCAGAAAAATCATAACCGGCCTATAATCAGGTCATGTTCCCCGAACACTGCCTTTGTAACATGAGGCCTTGTTGTGGGAGGTTTTCTCAACCTGTACATGACAAAAAATAGCCTTTAACAGTATTTTTTTTTCATGTAAAGATATACTGCAAGAATCTAGCCCTTTTTGTCATACAGACCTCAATACAAATGTGGATTACTTATGTTGAAAAGTCCCCATTCTTCTGTAATCTTGGTTCTCATACAGTCAGATAGTGGATATCTACTTATAATGGAGAAATTCCAGAACCTAGAAAATACAAACCTAACAAAGTGCTAAACAATACCTTGGGAAGTTTAACTACAGACTCCATCAAGGAAAAGAAAGAAAGTGAGCCTGAAGACTGAAGGAGAGAGAGAGAGAGAGAGAGAGAGAGAGAGACAGAGAGAGAGAGAGAGACAGAGAGACAGAGAGACAGAGAGACAGAGAGACAGAGAGACAGAGAGACAGAGAGACAGAGAGACAGAGAGACAGAGAGACAGAGACAGAGATAGAGACAGAGAGTCAGAGAGGATTGAGTAGACTATATTTATTATGGAATTCCAATCAAGGATTCAATAAAGATAACAGAAGTGTGTGAGCATCTGATAGACTCTGCCAGAAAACTTCAGTAGGTACAGTGTTTGTTTTCAGTGGGTAATTCAGAATAAAGGATCAATTTAACATCAGTTTTCATTGAGTGTCACTGTTCACATTTGGAGTTGCTAAGGAAGAAGCTTGTCTCACTTAGATATTTTTTATTTAAATTATAAACAATTTTATTTTACATACCCATCACAGTTCCCTTCCCCTCCTGTACTCTCATTTCCCCTACCGTCTCCCCATCCCACCTCTGTCCACTCCTCAGAGAGAGTGAGGCCTCCCATGGGGGATCCTCCAAGTCTGTCACATCATTTGGGGCAGAACCTAGGTATCCCTCCATAGAGAATGGTATGGTGGTTTCTCAGAAAAATGGGGATCAATCTACCTCAAGACTCACTAATTCCACACTTGGGCACACACCCAAAGGTTGCTCAATCATACCACATCTATTCAACTATGTTAATAGCAGCATTATTTGTAATAGCCAGAATCTGGATGGATGCCCCTCAACTGAAGAATGGTAAAGAGTATGTGGTACATGTACTCAATGGAGTACTAGTCAATGGCAAAAAAAGACATCTTTTTTTTTTTTGAGGCAGGGTTTCTCTGTATTGCTTTGGAGGTTGTCCTTGAACTTGCTCTGTAGATCAGGCCAGCCTCGTACTTACAGAGTTCCACCTGCCTCTGTCCCCCAAGTGCTGGAATTAAAGGTGTGCACCACCAACAGCTGGCCAAAAAAAGACATCTTGTTTACCTATTTTTATATGTTGCTTTTTTCCCATGTGGATTAGTCATAAACAACTGCTTGGTTCTTTAGAAAAGATTGTAAAATACTAGTGTTCCTTTCTTTCTCCCTCTGTTTCTTCCTTCCCCACCCCTTCCTCCCTGGTACAATACTATGTGCTCAGTTCCTCTGGAAAACCATCACTTCTGAAGCATAAGATGGAGTACTTCTTCTTGAATTACTCACTTGGTAGGGTTCCCCAACACAAATGAACAGAAATGGTGTTTTGACTAACCAATATGACAGACACTAAGCTTCATTTGCCTGTGGGACATCTGAAGCCTGGCTAAGCTGATAGGGGAGCTGCATTCTTAATGTCACTTAAATTTAACTATCCACACGTGCATAGAGGATGTCTCCTGTACCGAACAAGTTGACAGGCTAGATGGATAGAAACAAGCCTGCTTCTCTCAAGCCCACTCTTTTCTTTCTTTCCTTTCTACCATCTCAACCCTATTTCATGTTTTTTATCACTGCATGATAAGGAAACCCAGCCAAATAGCATATCCACAGCTACTCTTCA